CTTGACGAGATTTACAAGTATTAGCATTAATTGAATAGGATGACTAATGTAATCATGTTAACAATTTATAATATGATTGGAACCTCCTTTGTGTGTGGTTTCCAATTGAATAATAAGAGTTTATACTATACTTGTTTGACATACCATTAGTGGAACCTCTAACCTTAACATTTGTTATTATCATTGTTTAATCATTACATTAATATTCCATCTCAAAGTTCTCATCTTCTTTTTCTTCTTCTCCTTCTTTTTCTTTATTATTGTTATTATTATTATTATTATTGTTATTATTATTATTCTTGTTGTTGTTATTTTATTATTAGTGTTGTTGTATTATTGTTATTTATAATTTGTACAATTAACCTCCCTGTGGTTCGACCCCAGTCTTGCCGAGTTGTTTATTACTTCGACACTCCTGCACTTCGAAGAAGACATCAATCTTTTAGTCGTGTCAAGTGTATATGCCGCAAGTCGGGGCGACCAAAACAGAAGACTTTTGAGATTCAAATGACTTTCTGCAAGGATTGAAATGGCATCATATTATTTGTTTGAAATTATAATAATGATAGTAATTTAAAATATTTTAAAAAAATATTTTAAAATATTTTTTTAATTGTATTTTTTTAATAGTAAGCTAGTTAAAAATTTTACTTTGTATTTTTTTTCTTTAAAATACTGTGAATTGCTATAGTGTTTTTCACATCGTTTTTCTATTTAATATTTTTATTTTTAAAAATTATATTTGTTGATTGTATTTTTTTAATATTTAGTTGATTGAGAATTTAATTTTGTAATTTTTTTAACATTGTTAATTGCTATAATATTTCTCCACATAATTTTTTTTCTTTTTGTTTTTTATGATTTTCTTCTAAATTATCTTTTTCAATTTTATTTTTTAATATTGACTTGGTTAAGAATTACAGTTACAATATGTGAGAAAAACATTATAGCTTTCTTTACAAATTACTGTGGATTACTATAATGATTTTTTCCACATGAGTTTTTCCACATGATTTTTTTATGTTTTTTTCTAAAATTATCGTTATCAGTTTTATATTTTAAATATTAAGCTAGTTAAGAATTAAAATTACAAATACAAGTAAGGCTAAATCATGTGGGGAAAACACTGTAATTTTCCTCACAAAACACTATGGATTGATATAATTTTTTCTCACATGGTTTTTTTTCATTTTTTTGTGTTTTTTCTATAATATTTTTTTCTAAAATTATCTTTATTTTGTTAATTTTATTTTTTTAATATTAAGTTTTTTAGAATTTAGTTTTGTAATAAAGATTAATCATATAGGGAAAACACTGTAACTTTATTCATAAAACATTGGATTGCTATAGTGTCTCTCTAAATGATTTTTTTATGATTTTTTAAAAATTATCTTCGTTAATTTTTTTTTAATATTGAACTTGTTGGGAATTACAATTATAAATCATTGCAAATA